TATTATTGCTAAGTGGACTTTGTGAGAGCTTTCTGACCAACAATTTACTATCTCCATGTCTAGTCTTTTTGACTGGCCAGCATTCAGCTCCTCTGTAAGCCAGCGGTGCTCTACGTTGATAGTTTTATAAATGTACTTCTTAAGGTCACAAGTAGCATACGGTAAGAGGACCTCTTTATTCGAAGCATAACTAGTCATGCAAATTTCGCTACAACCAGCCAACGGGCTTCATTGGTAAGTAGACATGCTTTTTGAAGGAAACAATGGCATTCCCTGAGCATATAATATCCTCCCTCCATGTCCTCTAGGCGGCACAAGATCTCTACAGCGCTGGATTGGCCGAAGGCGAACTCCTCGGACGTCGACGCACTCTGCTCAGCCTCTCCAAGCTCGCTCAGATTGCCGGCGATGACAAGACTGCGCAGAGGCGGCGAATGATGGCCTCTGACAGCGATCAACACCGTTACTTTAGAGACGACGCCAATGCATTTCCCAGTCCCTTCTCTGTTGTTGCCAATGAACGATCAGCGAAGCAACCTGAAGACAACCGCATGAAGACCACCCAGCTAGAAAATATTGACCTTCACCTCGAGGCACTCGGCTATCAGGTAGGAAGCGTTGCATTTGCACTGACGACTCGTATTATTTGCCTCCCGATGTTGGCTGTGCTGTTGTAGGTGTGCTCTTTTGCCCCCTTTTAGAGTTTCTTAAATGAACAATAGTGCGCGCAAAGCAGAAGCCCTCGCCGGAGGGGAACGAATGTAAATCCTCTCTATTTACAAACGTGCTTTAGACGACGATTGTGCCCTGGGCCTTTGTCTTTTTCCAAAATGAAGCCAAGCTGAACTTGTTGTAGTTCATTCTTTACTGCTCTCCAGTTATTTTTCCAGCTTCACTTAAAAAAAGACCTGGTCATTATTGAACGTTTCCTCCGAACGTCCTATTCAGCTGCCGGTGTCTCCTAGGCCTTTTTTAGCTGGTCTTATAATACAGCGACAACGGTCAAGCAATTTGCAAATCGTATCCTTAGTGAGGTTGCTCACCCTCTCCACTCTGAACTAATGGCTGCTAAGTCTTCCCGCTCTGTGCGCCGAAGTTTCCGTCATATGTCTTGCATATCAGCACGCTGTACTCCCATTCCTAGCACGCTACCTCACGTGTGAAGAAGTGGAAATTGAGAAGTTAAAAGCCGACCTGTCTCCATAATAGATGTGGATATCGTATAAACCTTTGATTTTGAGCATTCTTGGACCTTTTACCGTGACCCCTTTCTTACCTTATCCCTTGCTCTCTGTAAATGGAGCCATTTTTTTACTGCAAGTTTTTGGGTAGTAAAGCATTCTCTCTTTTATGATAATTGATAATTCATCTATCGCAAACTGGAACATTTCCTTTCACATCTTGTTGCCGGAGATATTTTCGTTCTTTTCACTTATTTATGTGCTCCGTTTTACGATCAAGGTTATGCTATAGAGTGTGCATGTAAATGCTAAAATAATGCCCAAACAACGATTGCCGCTTCTGTGCAATAAAGGTTTTTACGGAGACAAAAGATGGCCTGCAGGCGTTATTATAGTATTTTTGGGTATTAAACTGCTTGCGTTTAAAAATCTAAATGTTTAAATAATCATATTAATAAACAAAGGGTTTTCGGAAGATCGAGTCGTACTCACGAATTTTCAAGCAGGTAACATTGGTCTCTCGTCAGACGAAGTTAAAAGTTCGGTTGATCCAATTGTGAAAAATTCGCGGCTTCTGTGGGGGTCGAACTCACATACCAGGGGAAGCTTTTGCGCAGCCAACGCTCAACCACTGAGCTGCGAGGCTCACCGTCAGCCGTGAATTTAATCACATTTGGATCAATTTTACCCGCCCAGCATGGAGTCCACCATTTACGGATACCGAGGCTGCGAATTTTTCACAATTAGGTCAACTAAATGATTCAAATCTGTCAAACCCTCCTACGTGAGCCTTGTAGTCATTCTGGTGGATTCTAAATGATTGTTTAGGAAATCCTGCCTGGACGGTCAGCTTACTGCATCCCTAATGGTAGATTCCATACCAGCAGTATGTTGGGTGGGTAAATC